AGTTGCATCCAAAAACACCTACCTACTGTGAAGCATGGCGGTGGAAACTTCATGCTTTGGGGCTGTTTTTCTGCAAAGGGACCAGGACGACTGATCCGTGTAAAGGAAAGAATGAATGGGGCCATGTATCGTGAGATTTTTGAGTGAAAACCTCCTTCCATCAGCAAGGGCATTGAAGATGAAACGTGGCTGGGTCTTTCAGCATGACAATGATCCCAAACACACCGCCCGGGCAACAAAGGAGTGGCTTCGTAAGAAGCATTTCAAGGTCCTGGAGTGGCCTAGCCAGTCTCCAGATCTCAACCCCATAGAAAATCTTTGGAGGGAGTTGAAAGTCCGTGTTGCCCAGCGACAGCCCCAAAACATCACTGCTCTAGAGGAGATCTGCATGGAGGAATGGGCCAAAATACCAGCAACAGTGTGTGAAAACCTTGTGAAGACTTACAGAAAACGTTTGACCTGTGTCATTGCCAACAAGGGGTATATAACAAGTATTGAGAAACTTTTGTTATTGACCAAATACTTATTTTCCACCATTATTTGTAAATAAATTCATAAAAAATCCTACAATGGGATTTCTGGATTTTTTTTTCTCATTTTGTCTGTCATAGTTGACATGTACCTATGATGAAAATTACAGGCCTCTCTCATCTTTTTAAGTGGGAGAACTTGCACAATTGGTGGCTGACTAAATACTTGTTTTCCCCACTGTATATATATATATATATATATATATATATATATATATATATATATATATATATATATATATACTATAGGTACACACATATATACAGTGGGGAAAAAAAGTATTTAGTCAGCCACCAATTGTGCAAGTTCTCCCACGTAAAAAGATGAGAGAGGCCTGTAATATTCATCATAGGTACACGTCAACTATGACAGACAAATTGAGAAAAATAAATCCAGAAAATCACATTGTAGAATTTTTTATGAATTTATTTGCAAATTATGGTGGAAAATAAGTATTTGGTCAATAACAAAAGTTTCTCAATACTTTGTTATATACCCTTTGTTGGCAATGACACAGGTCAAACGTTTTCTGTAAGTCTTCACAAGGTTTTCACACACTGTTGCTGGTATTTTGGCCCATTCCTCCATGCAGATGCTGATGTTTTGGGGCTGTCGCTGGGCAACACAGACTTTACCCATATATACTGTATTGTTCAACCTTTCAAGCTCGGTACACACACACATATATATATATATATATACACAAAAGTATGTGGACACCCCTTCAAATTAGTGGATAGGGCTATTTCAGCCACACCCGTTGCTGACAAGTGTATAAAATCGAGCACACAGCCATGCAATCTCCATAGACAAGCATTGGCAGTAGAATGGCCATTACTAAAGAGCTCAGTGACTGTCAACGTGGCACCATCATAGGATGCCACCTTTCCAACAAGTCAGTTTGTAAAATTTCTGCCCTGCTAGAGCTGCCCCGGTCATCACCTAGGAGCAACAATGGCTCAGCCGCGAAGTGGTAGGCCACACAAGCTCACAGAACGGGACCGCCGAGTGCTGAAGCATGTGGCGCGTAGAAATCGTCTGTCCTCGGTTGCAACACTCACTACCGAGTTCCAAACTGCCTCTGGAAGCAACGTCAGCACAAGAACTGTTCGTCGGGAGCATGAAATGGGTTTCCATGGCCGAGCAGCCACACACAAGCCTAAGATTACCATGCGCAATGCCAAGTGTCGGCTGGAGTGGTGTAAAGCTCGCCACCATTGGACTCTGGAGCAGTGGAAACGTGTTCTCTGGAGGGATGAATCACGCTTCACTATCTGGCAGTCCGACGGACGAATCTGGGTTTGGCGGATGCCAGGAGAACGCTACCTGTCCCAATGCATAGTGCCAGCTGTAAAGTTTGGTGGAGGAGGAATAATGGTCTTAACGCTACAGCATGCAATGAAATTCTAGACGATTCTGTGCTTCCAACTTTGTGGCAACAGTTTGGGGAAGGCCTTTTCCTGTTTCAGCATGACAATGCCCCCGTGCACAAAGCGAGGTCCATAATGGCTTGTCGAGATCGGTGTGGAAGAACTTGACTGGCCTGAACAGAGCCCTGACCTCAACCCCATCGAACACCTTTGGGATGAATTGGAACGCTGACTGTGAGCCAGGCCTAATCGCCCAACATCAGTGCCCAACCTCACTAATGCTCTTATGGCTGAATGGAAGCAAGTCCCCGCAGCAATGTTCCAACATCTAGTGGAAAGCCTTCCCAGAAGAGTGGAGGCTGTTATAGCAGCAAAGGGGGGGGAACCAACTCCATATTAATGCCCATGATTTTGGAATGTTCGACGAGCAGGTGTCCACATACTTTTGGTCATGTAGTGTGTACTATAGGTGTATTATTATTACAGTTATCAGTGACAACAGATGGAAACAAGGTGTAACCTGACTTTTTTTCATTTGCCTTTTTAACACTATTATCCGTCGCTCCATGGAAGCCCCCCTCCTCCCCTAACCAGCTAGAGACGCGACACCTCAGACACCGTCACACTACAGTGGGTCTACTTGTTAGCCAGCCAGTTACTATTAAAAACCTATACAAGCCATTTAGTAAAGGCAGCAGCCACGTGGAAAAGACATACATTCAAACAGTAACTTTGACAAGTGCTGGACCGACATATCACAAAGGGGTGCTCTGTTTCTTCATCGTCTGCCATTACAGCACAGGCCTTTGTGTAAAAACACTGGCAGTCAAAACCAGCCCTGGACAACACATCATAACCAATAATGGGATGACAGTTGGGGGAAGGAATCAAAATGGCCGAATCAAAGGCACCTAAACAATAGAGCTGAGATTTAAAAAAAATAAAACAAATAAAAACAGAAGGCAGAGCGAGACAAGCGACATGAATAACCCCATTGCAGGTGTGGGTTGCCGATGGGACTTGGAGACTGACGCTTACACACCCGCCATCTGTTTTGCATCTCAACGGCTGAAGCGGCAACCTTTTGGGGGGTTTCGGAAAATTTATACATTTGGCATGTTCATTACTGCTTTGCTTTTTGTAAGCAAAACTCCAGGGAGGAGGAAGGGTCATGTAAGGGATAGTGGAATTAACAATGAACAACAAGGAACAGTTACCGGTAATCCCTTGGATTAACTCTTCATCAAAAGGCATTAATGAACACTTAATAAAACACGACAGTGATGCAATATTTTATTGGTGCTTTAAAATGCATCATTGAACATTTGAATTATTTCTATCTAATTGAAATATCTGTGTGGATGGATGGAGGGATGGATGGAGGGATGGAGGGATGGATGGATGGATGGATGGATGGATGGAGGAATGGGTGGATGAAAGGTTCCCTTAATTTACTGAAATTACCCTATCGGACAGAAAGAGGCACACCTCCCCAACCACACACCTAAAACTAAGGTGGTTTCTTACCATCTCAGACAAACCATACATGCAAGCTTTGATGTAAACAAATAGCTACTACCTTTCCAAAGTGTATCTTTAAGTTCATAATGAGTGATAAACAGTAATTTCAGGTTCCAAAGAGACTGAAACTGGCACTCAAATGACACCAGGGGAAAATCGACCATTTCTGTTTGCTCTTTGCTGTCACCATGGTAATTTACTAAATGAAAATGTGTCTTTAGTACACAATTACTTAGCAGACGTTGAAGTCACACTTCCTTTCACAAAGCCTTTTTAAATTTAAATAATCATGGTAACTATTTATACTTAATGGTAATTAAGTCATAACAGATGACATACGAAAAGCGATTAACATAACATAACAACGTACAGCGCTCTATTGTGAAATATGTAAAAAAAAAAAAACAGATGTTTGTTTTGGTATTTAAATCATTTGTTCCTTCAGGTGTAATTTTTTTAAAATGAGAGAGCAGTGGGAACACCAAGGAGTTCTTGGTGATATAACTAAGAAAGAGACTAATATAAGTGTTTGCCTGAGTCCATGCAGTTTATTA